CCAAATTGTAATTGTGCATTATATTGTAAACACAAACTCTTTCATAGGTATATGGTTTGCAGATTTTTTTCCCTCTGTAAATTGGCCCTTTTACTCATTTAAATTTTTTTTTGGTCTTGGTTTTTTTTTTAATTTTGTGCGGGTTCTGAGGCCTAAAGTGAGTGGCTCGTGCTCTTGCTTCGCACTTCTGCTCAAGTGAAGTCCTCTACCACTTGAGCCACACCCCCATTTCCAGCTTTTTTTTCCTAGTTAATTGGAGGAAAGAGTCTCTCAGATTTGTATGTGCGAGCTGACTTTGAACTGAAATCCTCAGATCTTAGTCTTCTGAATAGGATTATAGGCAGGAGCCATCAGCTTCTGGCACTTTGGTTTTGAGACATACCTTGCTGTATAGCTTAGGCTGTCTTTGAACTCATAATCTTTGAATTTGAATCTTTGTCTTTGAATTCACAATCTTCCCATCTCAGCCTCTCAAGTACTGGGATTAATTATATAACCCACCGGCTTGGCTTCCTTTTCTTTTTGTTGTTGTTTCTTTTTGTTTTTGTTTTGGTGGTGCTGGGTACTGGGGTTTGAACTTAGGGCCTTCCATTTGGTAGGCAAATGTTCTACTGCTTGAGTTACTACTTAATAGTGTCATTTGAGGCACATGTTTAATTTTTGTGAAGTTCAGGTTTTTTTCTTTTGCTGGCATCATATCTAAGAAGCTTTCACCAGATCCAAGGCTAGGATTGTTATCGTTCAGGGTTTCATGGATTTGACACTTGCATTCAGGTCTTGAGCTGATTCAACTTGGTTTGCATGTGTGGTGTGAGGCAGAGGTGGAGGTACAGCTGCTGTATCAGCTGTTGGAAGGACTGGTTGTTCCCTGTTGAACGATTCTTTGAGTATTTGGTTCTATTTGGTAATATTTTTTCCTTCAGTTTTTTTCTTGTTATTATAAATATGATGTACAGAGGGGTTACAGTTTCATAAATCAGGAACCCCTTCTGACAGTTTTTAAAAAATCTACACTGGTCAAAATTGCTCTCTCTCCCTATCTGTCTCCCTCTCTCTCTCTCTGTCTCTCTCTCCCTTTCTGTCTTTTCCCTGTCTGTCTCCTTCCTCATCTCTCCCTCCCCCTCTCTCTCCCTCCTTCTCTCTCCCTCTCCTTCTTTTTCTCTCCTCATCCCTCTCCCTCTCTCTCTCTCCCTCTCTCCATCTACTTGTAAACATGTGGTCTCTCAGATGCTATGCAAATCAAGTCTCAGAATTTCAAAGCAGAATACCTCTCTCTCATTCTATGATAATGTTATAGAAGCAGGGAAGTTTTCCTCCCGTGCCAAGTGACATTCTAGCTTGGGGAGGAGCACTGTCTCTTTGGACATTTTCAGTCAGGCCAGTACTTTGCTATTGGTGCATTCTAGAATAATCAGAACACCAATATTGTAAATTGGAACACAACAAATACTGGAGGCGATAGGGGAAAGGAACCCTATTACACTGTTTGTGGCATCCACCCTGAGCATCACAAGCCAGGATCCATAAAGATGCTTGTGCATCCATGTTCATTGCTGCACTATCCACAACAGCCAAGCTGTGGGAAACAGCCCTGATGCCCTACAATAGATGAGTGAATACAATACATGTGGTACCTGTACACAATGGGATTTTACACAGCCATTAAAATAATACTATTATGTCATTGGCAGGGAAATGGATGGATCTTGAACAAATCATGTTCAGTAGGTAAGCTAAGCTTAGACAGACAAATGGTGCATGTTTTCTCTCATATGTAGACTCTAGATCTAAAATACATGGGGACATGGTAAATTATACAAGACACTAGGCATTCACGCACAGTGAGACCAAAGGAGGGCACTCCTAGGAGAGGAACACAAAAGCTCAAAGCCTGTGTGCCTCAAATCACATAAAATAATATTTATCAAAATAAACTCCAGGAAACGGAAGCACGAGGTTCGGTTTGGTTTGGGAAGAGAATCAGCACACGCTTCCCAGCGTGTAGCTCTGGCAGCTGGCTGGAGAGTGCGCATGGACGCTGTGTTTGCTCAGCTGGTGCATGGCAGCCGTGGCCTGGCGGGGCAGGGGGAGCAGCCGCCTTGAAAGAGATGAACATCCACTTTTTGAGACATCCCGCGGGCTGCCGTGCGGCCAGTGGCTTGGAGGCCCGAGGATGGCCTGGAAGTGAAATGTGAGCCCTCCAGCCGCCAGCCTGGCAGCTGGGTCTGCTGGCGCTGCGTTGTAAGGTCGGCCAGATGGCTGTGGGCACTTCCTGACACGCGTGGATGGGCGCCGTGCTGTGGATGGGCGCCGTGCTAGGGCCGGGCGATTTAGCTTGGGCATGGCGCTTTCCTTTCTCAGCTGAGGACGAGGCTCCCTGCGGAACTGCGGTGGGCAGGTGCAGTGACGGCGAGAGCCTCAGTGCGACCCAGCACCAGGGACAATGCGCCTGGAGGATACAGCACACACGCGCACGCACACGCACACACACACAGGGCCATGCATGCTCGGGTACAGGTGTGCTAGCACTTCCACAGGATGGCAGACATCTCCAGCAGCGCCTGGCTGCTGAACCGCCACAGTGCGCCCTGACACACCTCCTGTACCCGGGCGTGCATGGCCCTGCGTGTGTGCACGCGTGTGTGCACGTGCACACCCTCTGACACACCTCCTGCTTTGGGAACGAGTGTGCCCTGACACACTTCATGTTTTGTTGTACACAGACAGCAGTGCACTTTTTTTCCTCCCTTAGGAGGGGATATTAATTCTACAGAACACTCACATGGAAAAGGTAATGTGAACACACTGCCCGGGAGCCTCGGCCCAGCGCTGGTGGCAAAGCAGCCCTGCCCCGAGCCGCTGGGCTCCACACTGCACCCTCCACACACCACCCAACAGTGCACAGAAATCTGTATCCAGGTAGGAGCGGTGGCTCACACCTATCATCCTAGCTACTCAGGAGACTGAGATCTGAGGATCACAGTTTAAAGCCAGCCCAGCAGGAAAGTTGGTGAGACTCTTATCTCCAATTAACCACCAGAAAATTAGAAGTGGTGCTGTGGCTCAAGTGGTAGAGCACTCACCTTGAGCTGAAGAGCTGATGGGCAGTGCCCAGGCCCAAAGTTCAAACCCCACAGCCAACCAAAAAAAAAAAAAAATGGTGTGGTTGTGTTTTTTTAATCCAGTTTTTCAGAGGTTAATTGGAGATGGAGGTCTCACAGGGAGTTTTCTGTCAGGTTCAGCTTCAAACCACAATCAGAGTTCAGTCTCTTGAGTAGCTAGGATTACAGGTATGTGCCACAAGTGTCCAACCTTGATACTCTTTTCTCCAATAAATTATTTAAAAAAATAAATCTAGAAGTGGATCAGCGGCTGTGGTGTTACAGCCCTAGCCTTGAGCAGAAAAGCTCAAGGATAGCGCCCAGGCCCTGAGTTCAAGCCCTAGACCAGCACACCAAAACCAAAACAAACAAAAAACTTCAAAAACAAACCAGGAAGGTGGAGAAAAGGGATTCACCAGGGATCAAAGAGAATTCCAGAAAGGGGGTGGAGTGTCAGGGACCTGAACTAGGGAGTGCTGCTAGGTGGTGAAGGTCTTTTACCATAGCTTCCATCCAGATGTCCTTTACCTTATCTTAATCTATAGGCAAAGACAGTAAACACCTGAATGCAAAGCGGCACTTCCAGCCAGGCCCTGGCTGTGGAACAGCTCCTTCCATACTGGGTTATAGCCCAAGCTGGGATGGGTGCATGGGTCATGAAGTCGAGAGTTCAGGGTTCATGTGTTCCTTGTTCCTTTTGGGAGGAGCACCTGTGAGGATAAATCCTAACTTAAAGACCAGTGTCTCACAGTCCTGGCACTAAAGGATCTATTCCATGATGTAAAGAACTAGGGGTAGTGGTGGTGAAAATACCAAAGAACAATGACACAGTTTACATACTCAGAAGAAACAGGATATCTGGAGATAGAATGGAGATATAACCCACTCTTCACAGGGAATGACGAAAAGTTAAATAATTGAAGATCTATTGTCTTAAAATACAAGTCAAGGGCTGGGAATGTGGCTTAGTGGTAGAGTACGTGCCTAGCATGCATGAAGCTCTGGGTTTGATTCTTCAGTACCACATGAACAAAAAAGCTGGAAATGATGATGTGGCTCAAGTGGTAGAGTGCTAGCCTTGAGCAAAAGAAGCTCAGGGACAGTGCGCAGGCCTTGAGTTCAAGCCCCAGGATTGGCAGAAAAAAAAAAAGAACATTTTCCAATGAATCAATCTACTTGCCTTTGGAAGTTAGAGTGTGAGAGTTAAGACAAGAGGTAGAAGATTAGAAATGTCCTGAGGCGTGAAAACTTAACTCTTCCCCACAAACTGCAAGCATGTGATCTGATTAACTCTCAGGAGAAAATAAAGATTTGTCCTTGAAAAGGTAACCTAAAAGAGGTGCCATTTATCGGTATCTTTTATTACAGTGGAGTTTATAGGTTTCATACCTTCCATCTTTTTTCCTTTTGTTTCTTTTCTTTTCTTTGGGTCTGCTTATGGAGCTAGACCCTCCTGCCTGTGCCTCCCAAGTGCTGGGATTACAGGCATGCACTACCACACCCACTATACATTTCTTTTCCTTTCTTACCTAGGTGCAGTAGAGAGAGCCTGGCAATCCTGCAAGGCACTTTGGCACTTCGGAGTGGTTAACCAAGCATAGAAGGTTCCCACTTTCCCAAGTACATTTGTTTTGTCGGAGCACTGGCTCTACTTCACAGGGACTGGACCAGAGGGACAATGAGGGCCACAGAAAGAACCCGAGTCACGTCATTCACTTGGCGTCTGCCTTTGGCTTGGAAATAAGAGCTTGGGGGCAGATTGTGACAAAAGCTTGCATTTCCAGTTCTCTTTTCTCCGGTTACTTCAGTCCAGCCGGCCTGAAGCAGCTGGGTTGTGTAACAGCTTTTCTTGAAGCACGTGAAGGTCCAAACTTCAATCACTTACTGCTTCGTGTCCATCCGCCGTTGACAGGCCTCGTCCGTCCTGGCGCTGCTGCTGCTGCTGGACGGGGCGATGTTCTCCTGGTCCCCGCCGCCCCCTGGGCCGCTGGACAAACTCTTCCAGTACATCGACGCCCACCAGGATGAGTTTGTGCAGGTAGGACCGTGCCCGGGTGCGTGGGGGGCTTGCAGGGATGGCGGACGCCCTGGCTTGTGGGAGGTGGGGTCGGAGTGATAACTCCATTCCATTAAGAGCCAAACAGTGGGTGTTCAGCAACCCGGAGGAAGAGGCTGCTGCTCTGTGCCATGCCTGAGCGTTCCATTCAGCCCTGTCCACCCGGCGCCCACCCTGAGCATTCCATCCAGCCCTGTCCATCCAGCCCTGTCCACCTAGTGCCAAACCTGAGCATTCCATCCAGCCCTGTCCACCCAGTGCCAAACCTGAGCATTCCATCCAGCCCTGTCCACCCGGTGCCCGCCCCTCTGTGGATCTCACATCTGCCCTGGCCCACTGGGTGCCCATGTGACCGCCACCTGGCCCCTCGTCCAGGTTCAAGGCCGCGCTGTGGCAACACCTGGGCAGCCTCACTGCCTCCTCCTTCCTAGCTCCCTGCTGGCCTGCGGCATGCGGTGTGGACACGTGTGGATGGGGACAGAGGGAGGGCGGGGGAGGGAATCGGGCGGCCAGCACAATCTCTTACGGAATGTCTCCATCTCATGGCCTCTTGCTGACTCCTGGGACATGCAGCCTGGGGCTGCTGCCAGAGCCCCTCAGCCCCGGGGGCTCAGGACTCTGGACTCTGAGCCTTCTGCCCTGTGTCTGTTACAGAGCAGTTTGGATACCTGTGTATTTGATCATTTAGGAATGTCATGCTCCCTGCTAAAGACTCAAAGCAGACTGGAATGGCTCTGTGGCGCTGCCCCCACTGCCCCCATCACCCCCGCCGCCCCTTCTGCTAGAAAGTTGGCCTGACATAAAGGCATCTTGGAACTGGATTTCCAGACTAGGTGGAGAAATGGTGTCCCATGGCCTTGGAGTCCAAGCCTTTCCCCTTCCCACCTTCTCAAGCATCCCAGATCTACTCAGCTTGGGGGAAGGGGAAATAGAGTCAAGATCAGCACCCCAGATAAACGTTCTTTTCCTAAAAGTGTCAGGCTCCGTAGGAGCAGCTCACCCCCAGCCCCGGCATGTGGTGGTGGCACAACTCTGGCTGACAGACCATGTCTTCCACACACAGCCCCTCAGCCCACGGCCCTCTAAGCTTGGGTTGGGAAGCCCCATGCTCCTGCACAGATGAAAACCCAAGACTAGGAGATAGGAAGGGCGGCGGTGGAAGTCACGAGTACCCCGTGAACACGCAGCGCTGACCGGAGGCCCCGCCCCACTGGCCATGCAGGTGCCGGGATCGCTCAGCAGCGCACGGCAGCCCTCCTGCCCTGTCCCCCAGGCCCCCTGCCTTGTCTTCTGCAGGAGCCATGTGATTCTGGCTTCCATATATCTTTTTCTCCCTCTGATCCTCCTGTCTCAGTCTACCAAGGGCTGGGATTATAGCTGTGCACCAGTTTATAAATCAATTGCCCTTTTTTGTGTGTGCCAGCAATGGGGCCTTGAACTCAGGGCCTCAGGCTCCCACTTCGCTTTTCGCTCGAGGCTGGCTCTCTACCAGTCAAACCACACTTCCACATCTGGCTTTTTGGGTTTGGTTGATTGCTGGTAAGAGCCTCAGAGACGTTTCAGGCCAGGCGGGCTACACACCATGAGCCTCAGACCCAGCCTCCTGAGTAGCTGGGATTGCAGGTGTGAGCCGCCCACCGGCACCCGCCTCATCAGGTACTTCTGAATGTCACTAACACCATCTGTGGGTTTGGGGCCTTGCCCCACACACAAGTGGGTGTGGGTGCCCAGCCACGCTAACCCTCCCCTGCCGTCCTGACAGGTGCTGAAGGAGTGGGTGGCTGTGGAGAGCGTGTCCGGGCAGCCTGTGCCCCGGTTCAGACAAGAGCTCGCCCGCATGGCGGCCATGGCTGCTGACCAGCTGCAGCGCCTGGGAGCTGGCGTGGATGTGGTAGACCTGGGCTCTCAGCAGGTGTGTGTGTGTGTGGGGAACCTGGCTCTCAGCAGGTGTGTGTGTGTGTGGGGAACCTGGCTCTCAGCAGGTACGTGGGGAGGGGGACTTGGCTCTCAGCAGGTGCGTGGGGGGGAGGGGGAGGGGACAGGTCCCTCCCATACAGAACCCACAGCCACTGGCTGCAGGAAGCTCAGAGCATACGATGAGCCACCCGGGACTCCCTCTAGGCCCAAATGAGAATGCACTGCGGACTCCCCGGCAGAGTGGGACTGGGCGGGGGCACAGAAGGTGGGCTAGGCCCTGGTTCTTGATCTCCCCCAGGTCTCTTCTCTCTTGTCTCCATGTGCCACTTTCTCAAAGGCCCTGGTTCTTTCCTTAGATCCCTGGCCATGCAGACACTGCCAATCCATCACAAACGCCAACCCTAAGCCTAAGAAACCATGGCCTGTGCTTTGGCAATGAGAACTGCAGAATAACCAGAATACATATATGCATATATATACACACACATATATATATATATATACACATATATGTGTATATATATAAATTTTTATTTAATTAACTTATTTTTTTGCAAGTCCTGAGCCTTGAACTCAGGGCCCAGTCTCTATCCCTGAGCTTCTTTTGCTCAAGGCTAGTGCTCTACTACTGAGCCACAGCTCTATTTCCAAATTTTTCTGAGATGTTTACTAGAGATAAGAGTCTCACAGACTTTTCTGCCCTGGTTGGCTTTGAACCATGGCCCTCATAGCTCAGCTTCCTGAATAGCTAGGATTATAGGCATGAGCTACGTGTACCCGGCATGTTTTCTATTTTTCCTAACAGTCTGAGGGTACCCATTTTATTTTATTCATTTTTTATATTTTATTTTTTTGCCAATCCTGGGGCTTGAACTCTGGGCCTGGGCACTGTCAAGGCTAGCACTCAACCACTTGAGTCACAGCCCAACTTCTGGCTTCTTCTCCGTATGGGGTACTGAGGACTCGAACCCAGGGCTTCATGCTTGCAAGGCAAGCACTCTACCACTAAGCCACCTTCCCAGACCTAAGAGTACCCATTTTAGAGATGGAGAAAGTAAGGCACTAAAAGAAGACTTAAGCCCAGTGCTGGTAGGGTAGAACAGGCAGGACTCCTAATGTCTGGAATTTTCTGGAAGGACAATGTGAGCCACTCTCTTTCTGCAGCTGCCGGACGGCCAGAGCCTCCCCCTGCCGCCCATCATACTGGCTGAACTGGGGAATGATCCGAAGAAGCCCACGGTCTGCCTGTACGGACACCTGGATGTGCAGCCCGCGCTGCGGGGTGATGGGTGGCTCACCGACCCCTTCACGCTGGCCGAGGTGGACGGTCAGTGCCCTGCAGCGCCTGCGCAGACTGGCTCACAGAGTTAGAGGCAAAGATGCAGCTCTGGCTCTAGGTCCTTCACTCCCAACAGAAGGCAGGCGCTGGCCACTCACGCCTGTCATCCCAGCTACTCAGGAGGCTGAGATCAGGGTTTGAAGCTGGCCCAAACAGAAAAGTCTGTGAGATTTGTAGGTCTAGTTAACCACCAAAAAGCCGGAAGTGGAGCTGTGTCTCAAATAGTGAAGTGTCAGCCGGTACCCAGGCCCTACTACTGGAACAACAGCAACACAACAAGAATGAATAGAAGCGTTGTTCCCAGGTCTTCTAGTTGGTCCCATGTGGCTGACTTTCTTCCTTTTGTGGGACAAACTAGGACTCTGTGTGTCTGTGGGAAGGGCTGCTGGACAGGAAGAAAACAGTTGTTGAGGTCACATGAGTTCTTTTTAAAAAATACTGAGTTGGTGGTGTGGCTCAAGTGGGAGAGAGCCTGCACCGCAAGGGTAAGACTCTGAGTTCAAATCCCATGCTACCATAAAAATTAGAAATCCAAATGTGGTTTCTGTTTTATGAAGAAAAGAAGGGGAAAGGTTAGTAGAAATCTATGCTGCAGATTGTAACCTATTCTACTGTTTGGCAAATTGTAAAATCTTAAGAGACAGGCTTGTTCAGGAACAAATCCTCAGGTCCCTTCAGTGAACTCAGATAGAACAGACAATTCCTAACTGCTGAGGCGAGCTGTGAATTTCACATCAGCATGTTTTATCTGACTCACCGTGGACCATAGGATTTGTATAGAAGAAGTCACATTCTGCAGTTTCAGAGCAAGATTTGTGCCTGGGATGTTGGAAAGTATTGTTAATATTATTACTTGTAATGTCAGCTAATTAAAAAATGCTAAAGGAAACCGTTACTTGTCCAGCAACATTTGTTTTTACCTCACTCATCTTGGCAGAGGTCTCTGTGCTGTTTGGAAAATTTCTTCTCCTGTTGCTTTGCAGGCAAACTCTATGGACGAGGAACGACAGACAACAAAGGCCCCGTCTTAGCTTGGATCAATGCCGTGAGCGCCTTCAGAGCCCTGGATCAAGTAGGTGGCCAGCTGTGAGAGGGGTGCGAGGGAGTGCGGTGATTAATCAACCTGTGTATGCTATTTGGGGGGACTAGTAAGCTACACAATGTTCCCCAGTTTCCCAATTGTCTTTGGAAGATGCAGAAATTCTGCATTTTGATACATGGGAGAAATAAGGTTGGGAAGATGGAGAAATCTATTTCATGTGGCCCCAACTAGTGGCGATGACTATCAAAAACAGGTCACAGGAGGCTGGGAATATATGCCTTAGTGGAAGGGTGCTGGCCTAGCAGGCACCAAGCCCTGGCTTTGATTCCTCAGTACCACATACACGAAGAAGCTGGAAGTGGTGCTGTGGCTTAAGTAGTAGAGTGCTAGTCTTGAGCAAAAGAAGCTCAGGGTCAGTGCCTGGACTGGGTGGGGGGGGGAGCAGATCACAGGGATTAGCACGGTAATTATAAGTCTAGGTTCAGGACTTGAACAAGCCTGGGTAGAAAAAAAATGAGTAAAACTCTTCCGTCAAAACACAAATGGAGTAAGGTAGTTCCCACCTGTAAACCCAGCGTGCCTCCAAACCCCACGGCCTGGAGCCTGCTGTGTGGCCCCAAACCTCCCGTTCCAGGCACCACCTGAAAAACAAACAGAAGCACAAAGAGCTGGATGCAGCCGTACTGGCTCTAGGGCAAGGTTCTGAGTTCAAATCCTGAAACAAAACAGCGACCAACCAACCCAACCGTAATACAACAAAAACTGTGTGGATCCAGTGGTGGTTACCCTCTGCTACCGGAGCCTTGCATGGCCCCTTCCATTTCCTTCCTTGTTAGAAGTAAGCATGCACTCATTAACAAACTCATACTCATTTAAAAGAAGGTACTGACTACTTTGCAGTTAATTTAGGGTCATGTCTTTGCTACCTTACCTTGGGTCTTGGGCATTGAGGCTCCTTCCTGTAGATCTAGTAGTTTGTCCTTCCTTCCTTCCTTCGTTCTTTCTTCCCTCCCTCCCTCCCTCCCATCCTTCCTTCCTTCTTTTCTTTTCTCGTGTGTGTGTGTGTGTGTGTGTGTGTGTGTGTGTGTGTGTGTGTGTGTGTGTGTGTGTGTGTGTGTGTTGGGGCCTGAATTCAGGGCCTTGGCTCTGTCCCTGATTTTTTTTTTTTTTTTTGCTCAGGGATAGCACTCTACCACCTTGAGCCACAGCTCTACTTCCAATTATCCAGTTTTTTGGAGATTCCAGTCTCATGGACTTTGCTGCTTGGACTGGCTTTGATTAGTGATCCTCAGATCTCAGCCTCTGGAGTAGCTAGGTTACAGGCATGAGCCACCGGCTCCTGACTCCCGGTCATTTTGCTTAGGGGGTCGCATGTGGGCTGTGGAGGAAGGATGGGAGCAGCTTTGGGGTCAGCCACGCATTCTGGCTGTTGAGGACATTTTTGGTAGGGCCAGGCCCTGTGCTGTGTTCTCACGGGGTTACTTTGGCCTCCATCTCTGACCAGTCATCTCTGGTACTTAGCAAGGTGCGTAGACACTCACAGAAGCTTCGGTCCAGCTGTGTGGCTGTGGGTTAGGGCTAAGCTTCTCTGTGCCTTGGATTTGCTCTGTGGAAGGAGTGCACTGGTTTGGTGGTCAGGTTTGGAGTCTGCATTTTACTTCCCTCTCCTGTGTCCCACGGAGATGACCAGTCCATTGGACTTGAGTGATAGGTGGAGAACCTGGCCCTTCACTGCCAGGCCCTCCCTCCACCCCGCCCCCATCTAAGGCACTGGCTGTGAGCTCCACGCCCCCCCACCCCTGTGCTCAGGGAAGCTTGTGGGGAAGGAGGCAGTGTTCAGACAGAAGGTTGGAGGGCAGTCACTACCCCACGTCCAATGCTCTGTGGGAGAGAAGACTCCTCAGTGGAGCACAGGCCTGCATGACAGGACTCAGAGGTCACTGCCTCTGGCACCTGCTGAAGTGCCCTGGGCATCCAGAAAGTTCCGCAGGGCACCATGCATCAGTTTCTCGTCTACTCACACCCATTTTGCGGGTCCATTACTGGTCCAGGGTGCAACAGGAATCTGGAAGCAGCAAGCTTGGCCTTGACCTGGTTCACAGGTGTGCAGGAGCAGCTGTGGCAGCTTCACTGGGGAGATGGGAGGGGACAGGAGAGGGGAGGGGACAGGAGACGGAGGGGACAGGAGACAGAGGGGACAGGAGACAGAGGGGACGGGAGACAGAGGGGACAGGGGACAGAGGGGATGGGAGACGGAGGGGACGGGAGACAGAGGGGACAGGGGACAGAGGGGACAGGGGACAGAGGGGACGGGAGACGGAGGGGACAGGGGATGAGGGGACGAACTCAGTGCTGTCTTTCTGTGTGGGGCGACCTGCAGGAATTGAACAGCTGGTTCCAAACTTGCCTTCGCGATGTCTTAGCTGTTGAGGGGCGTAGGATTTTGTGAAGCTGAACTTTAAACCTGTACAGCCTTCACAGGTGCTGGTGGCTCATACTTACATAATCCTGGCTCCGAGGCTGCTGAGCCCCTGAAAACCCTGGAGAAGCCCGATTCTCACAGGAGGGACGCATGGCCACCGCGCACCGAGGAAGGCCTCTGGCTTAGATCTCCAAAGGTGCTGCCTCCAAATGTTTATAAACAGACTCGACTCCTTCATCAGAATCAGGGGCTTCTCTCCCAGGAGCTGTTTCTCCTGAGACATTAGCTGACATTTATTGACTTCTTTATCTCATGGGAAAAAGTCAGGCCCGATCAATCTGGACAGGTTTCTGGCTGGGTCCTGCTGGTCAGCACAAAGCTACGTTCTTATCCACAGCCCTTCATTAACTAAAGAAGTACTGGACCTGAATGTGGCCTGTTAGTCCCTTCTTCCAATCCTTCCTTCCCTCCCTCCCTCCCTCCCTTCCTTCCTTCCTCCCTTTCCTCGCTCCTTCCTTCCTTCCTATCTGCATAAACAATATGAGGCCAGAAATCAGCTTTGCCATTTTATTTATTTATGCCAGTCATGGGGTTTGAACTCAGGCCTCCGCACTGTCCCTCAGCTTCTTTTGCTCAAGGCTAAGACTTTACCACTTGAGCCACAGCGCCCCTTCCAGCTCTTTCTGTTTATGTGCTACTGAAGAATCAAACCCAGGGCTTCATGTACACTTTCAAGCACTCTATAAGTTATATGATGAAATAACAAAAACAAGCAATACTGACTGCCCTTGGACACATCTCAATCTTCCTGGGTCACATTTTCCTTCTCTATGAATGAGAATTTCTAGCTCACAAGCTGGTTAGGAAGGTGAAATGAAGAGAACTCTGCAAACCTGGTATGGTGATGCACATCTGTAAATCCTAGCATTTGGGAAACGGGCAGGAGAGTCTTGAGTTCTAAGCCAGCTTACGCTATATAGTGAGACCCTGTTTAAAAGAGAAAGAAGGAAGGAAGGGAGAGGAAGAGGAAGAGAGAAAGGAAGGAGAGAAAAAAGGAGGAAGAGAGGAAAGAAAAGAACAAAAGAAGGAAGGAGAAATGGAGGTCGGAAGGAAGGAAGGAAGGGGAAGAGAGAGAGAGAGAGAGAGAGAGAGAGATTCTGCAAAGGTCTTCCAGTGGCACCAGACCACCCGAGATTTCCCTCTTTCTTCGCTTCCTTCTTGCCCATCGAGTTCTTAAGCACAGATTCCTCACTGGCTCATCGTACTGAGAACAGAGCTGTTATTAACAGTCATTTGAATGATGGAGTAGTGAGCCACCAGGGGTGGTCATGCTTGCCCCGCATCCCTGGGGCACTGAGGAGCAGGGTGGAGAGCAGGTGGGCGAGCGGCTTCTTCTACGCTTCCTAGCTCTAGCCTTGGTTTATGTTTTATTAAATGTGGTTTGCCAGAAAGTGCTTATCATCTCCAACTGCCTCTCAGGGATTGTATACTCATTAAATATTAATAATGAACTCCTCTAGGTTAAACTTTCCATACCTCAGCTCTACTTCCTAAGTGGCACACAGTGCAATGGGTACATTGAACAAACCATTACCCAACGCCCTTGTCCAAATGGAAGGTCCAGCTGGCTTATGATCCTCCGCTCATCATTTGTCCTTCAGCAGTGAGCCACGCCCATGAGGACCTATGGTCCTGGTTGTGCTCCATCTGTTATCCACACGGTATTCTCTCCTCCATGTGTTCTGTGCTTAGAAAAAGACCTTGCTCTCTCTTCTTAATGTGGCTCTTAAAGATAGGAAGTTATAAACTAAGTTCAAAAACCAAATGGGAAAAGTGGTATGTTGTAAACATTTTAAAGGGTTTCTTTCTGTGACTCTTATTAACAGGATAAAATCGCCAGTTCCATTTTGCTGCCAGATCAAAGGCTTGGAATAAATTAAAAGGCAGATTGAGCTCATAGCTGAAAAATAAAAGACACTGGAAATAAACATGATCCATATAGCTGAACAATCATTCAAAGGGAAGAGTTCTTGTTTATCATGCAAAGAATTCTGAGGGCAGAAGAGCAATTTTGTAGTTCTTCTCAGAAAAGTCGTTTTGGGGGAGGTACAGGAGGAGGTGGAAGAGGAGGGGGAGAAGGAAGAGAGGGAAGAGGAGGAAGAAAAGGAGGAGGAGGAGGAAGAAGAGGAGGAGGAGGAGGAGGAGGAGGAAAAAATGCCTCCAGTGAAGGAAGCTGGGTGGTGTTGGGCGCAGCGTTCATGGGTGGACCAAGCTGCGCATTCACCGGGCCTCACCTTGAATTCTCTTCCAGGCTCAGTGAAAACTCCACTGCTAGAAACAGAGCCGTGGGAACGTTAACGGTCCATACATTGAGTGGAGAGAATGGTCTCGTGTTAGCACCACAGCGCGTGGCGCTTGCACTTTAGGCAGTCTTTGTGTTCTGTCGCGATTCCAGGATCTCCCGGTGAACGTCAAGTTCATCCTGGAGGGGATGGAGGAGGCGGGCTCTGTGGGGCTGGAGGAGCTGGTGAGGAAGGAGAAGGACCGCTTCTTCTCCAGTGTGGACTACATCGTGATCTCAGATAATCTGTGGATCAGCCGCAGGAGGCCGGCGCTCACCTACGGTACCCGAGGGAACAGCTACTTCACTGTGGAGGTACGGGGTGGTTGGGGGCTAAGGACAGAGAGAGGAGGGAGGAGTCCATTCTGGGGTCTTGGGTAGGAAGCCCCGAAGAGCTCACCTGAGAGTCTGGGTGGCCGAGGTGTTGGCATCTGGGTGTAATCCAAGCAGCCCTATGAACTTGGAGCGCATGCACTTTGTATGCTTATTGTCTGGAGAGAGGATTCCTGGAGCTTTTTGACACAAACACGAAAGGTCTAGGAAGGATGGTTATGCAATCTGGAGGCAGGAATTTCCTCCCCAGAGGAGGACAAGGTCCCAGGCCCAGGGTCAGCGTCTGGGAGAAAGGGTATGGCCCTGGCCCGCGCAGGCTTCTAATCTCTGGCCTTAGTTCTCCACCTCAAAATCTGGTACCATACCTTCCCTCTTCCCTAGGGAGTTTCTGTGACTACCTGTGATATTTAGTTTGGGTTTGACACAGAGTTTCCTTCTCTTTTGCATTCAGACAGACAACCTGTGATACAAGTGCATACAAGTAGAATCAGAAAGCTGGGAGATGGAGTGGTGTAAATAATTGGAGAGCTTAGGCTGGAGGGTCACCTAATGGAATGGAGGCTTATTAGTCCATACTGACCTCTTCACACCCAGGCAGTTGTGAAACTCAATTTTTATGGACCAGATGGAAACATCACACATTTTTAGTGTTTGAAAAAACACTTTGCCAGACATGGCAAGGTGAATCCCAGGACAGAAAAAGACAGTATCTCCCCCATCCCCTGACCCCCCCCCCCCCCCCCCCACACCCAATCCACTGCCCTAGACAGATACCTGAGGAGCGGGAGGGAGAAGACAGGAAGCAGCCGCGGGTAGAAATCTCTCCCTTGGAACTCGGTGGTGAGAGGGACAGATGGCGTAAAGTCTGGGAGAGGCATAGAATCTCAGAGAGCCTTCAGGAGGCAGCAGGAAGAAGGGTCCATCCACAAAGACCAGACTGGGGGGTGGGGGAGAGAGTATTTATGAGAACAGAGGGAGGAGGATAGAGGAGACCGCAGGGAGATTCTGAGCCGAGGGGATGAATGCGCCTCTTCTGTTGGGTGTCAGGTAGATCAAGAGCTGGGAGTGGTAGATTAGTGGACAAGGTGGTCACGCTGGGAATCCTGGCTACTGAGGACGCTGAAATCCAAGCATCACCATTCAAAGCCAGGCTGGGCAGAAAGTCCATGTGACTCTTATCTCCAATTAACCACTGAAAGCCAGAAGTGGAGCTGAGGCTCAGCTGGCAGAGCACTAGCTTTGAGCATAAAAGCTCAGGGACAGTGCCCAGGCCCTGAGTTCATGCACGCACACACACACACAAAAGGAGGAGGAGGAAGAGGAGGAGGAGGAAGAAAAGAGAAATCATGGTCAAAGGCAGGACAAGTAGCCTAAGATTTCAGAAGCAAGACTATCAGCTCCAATGTACTTCAGAACTAATGCCTAGTAAAATGTGAATTTCTCAAACTTAAGGGACTAAGTGGAAGACTCATCCTCCATTACAGGTAGAGGGGATGGAAGTGGCGCTGTGGTTCAAGTGGTAGAGTGCTCACCTTGAGCTGAAGTGGTCAGGGACAGCACCGAAGCCCAGAGTTCAAGCCCTGTGAACAACAAAGGTAGAGGGGAGCAGGCGAAGACCAGCTGTGCAGGAGTGATGGGGGGAAAGAACCAGAGACATTTCCCTAAATCCCAGCTCAGAAACTAGTGATGGCTTAGAGCCGCTGCACACAGGAGAGACCAAGCTGGAAGGAAGTAGCTGGAGGGGAAGACATTGAATTGGGTTCTAGATCTGTTGGAATCCAGAGACTGGAAGCCCCTGGGCCCTGAGTTCAAACCCTAGGATTGGAACACCACCACCACGGGCACCAGCAGCAGCCTGGAAGCCAAGTGTGCGTGTCAGTGATCTCGAGGCACTGTAGGCACGCAGAGCTCGCCAATGTGGGCTGACAGGAAGTCAGACCTACAGAGGTAGAAAACCATGCCGTGCGAGTGTGCCAAGCTCCTGCAGGGGAAGGATCAGCCAGAGATGAAGCTGCGGCGGCGCGGGAAGAAAACCAACATTATTCCCTCAGGACCCGGGGAAGAAGATGTCTTCTAGGGTGGTGATCTACAAGATGGATGAAGCCAAGAGCAAGACAGCTAGATGGGCACTAATAATTTGGCCCAGCGAGGGCCTGTGTTGATGGGTAGAATTGGGCGAATGGGACACTGGGGTTCAGGGAAGATGGGGGATGAAGTAACGGATACACAATCTCCAAGGCTGAGGCACAAGAGACGCAAGGCCAGGGGAGGCTGTTGCCTGCGTCCTGGGGCGGCCACCGCTCGGGGTCACCTTCCACCGTGGGAAGGGCTGTGGGTGCCAGAGTCCCCGGGGAAGCTCAACCCTTGTCTTACCTACCCCACAGGTAAAATGCAGAGATCAGGATTTTCACTCCGGAACCTTCGGTGGGATCCTTCATGAACCAATGGCCGATCTGGTGGCTCTTCTTGGTAATAACTGTTTCCTCACCCCCCCCCATTTTTCTTTGTTTGCGTTTTACTTTTGAATGAGCATGTATCAATAGGGAGAGGGTGAGATGAGATTGTCCCATGCACGCACACACATGGTGCCCTTGAGACAGGTTGACCGTGTGTTCCTCTTCCCCTCTGCCCCCTCCCCCTTTTTATGTTTGGTGCGTCTGTACGTCCATCTGTTAAATATACAGTTGGTCTACATTTGGGTCATCTATGCCCCTCTCCTTCTGGGCCCAGCGGCAGGGCCCTGAGGTCTGGTGCGCTCCTGCTGGCTCCTCGGTGCTCCTGGGGCAGTGCTCCCACATGGCTGTGCATCTGTAAGGCTCTTCTCCTGCTCCTGACCTGCACCTCTCTGGATTAGGAGCAGAGCCTGTGTTGTGTGCTTCCCCACTTGTCCTTGCAGGGGAGAGAGACTGTGGGCAGAAGTTTATGGATGATGCTCAGGGAAGGTTTGGGGATTATCTCACTGCTGATGCTATTTTGTTTTTGGAGTAAATGAGAAGGTAGACAGCACATTGATGCTAGCTAGTCCTAATCCTTCAACAGCTCCTCCTCCTCCTCCTCCTTCTCCTCCTCCTCCTTCTCTTCATTATTATTATTACCAGTCCTGAGGCTTGAACTCAGGGCCTGGGCACTGTCCCAAGCTTCTTTTGCTCAAGGCTAGCACTCTACCACTTGAGATACAGTACCACTTCCAGCTTTTTCTGTTTATGTGGTACTGAGGAATCAAAACTAGGGCTCATGTATGCTAGGCAAGCTGTCTACCATAAGCCACATTCCCAGACCCAACCAACTTATTTTTAAACTTTAATCTAGGTAATGGGTTTAAATCACTGAATTACTATACAATTCATTGGGCTAATGAGGGGAATTCTGTAACTCAGGACTAGAAGTATGATGGATTTTAATGCTGTCCATAATGTGGTCCTAGGAGCAGGAATCTGCGGAAAGTGCTCGGGGACTAAGAGAGGGTCCAAAGGACCCCGGGAGTGGTGATGTCTTCACATTCTACAGCCCTAACCCTGTCAGGCCTCATGCCTGGTTTCCTATGACCATCTTTGAAATAATGGCAAGTCCATTTCATGTTCTGTTACCATCATCTCTGTGGAATTTTCTAGGACATTTCCTAGCTTCAGTTGTATCTACACAGAGCCAAGCAGCCTGCTAATCAGCTCACATGAGACCACACTAATTGTTTGTGGTCAGAGAGCCCCTCTTCGAGGGGAGGTGGGGTCTGTGGCCCAGTGGCTAGCAGAGCAGGGATGTGTCTGGATCCCCAATGTGCACTGAAGTTCTTGACACTGGCCTGAAGCTCTTTTGTTTGGTTTTGCTTTTCTGAGATAGAGGCTCACTAGATAGACAGACTGGACTTGAACTCACCATCCTCCTGCCTCAGCCTCTGAGCACTAGGGTTTAGAAGTTCTCACCGCCACACCCAGCCTAGAGAGCGAATGTGCCTCACAATAGAGTTTCTCGCCTGATGCTGTCAAATTCTAATCATGGTAAGACTGTGGGGCAGCTATTTGTGAAGTATCTTTCCTTGAATGAAAGTCCAAGATGGATTAAAAATTAGCTGCCCTGCAGACATTTTGTCATTTATATCCATCTACATCCAGGGTTGCAATCTATCTTTGGTGAGCATTTTCTGGAGCTCCTCAGCAGTGTTTGCTGAGTCTCAGTGCTGGCAGCTTCCTCTCTCAATATTTGTTGATGATTTCCACCATTTCATTGACCATGAAACTCTTTCATAAAGATCAGATTAATGCATATGCTTGACTTACTAGAAGGCATTTTGTGGTCATGATAGACTAGATCTCAAGGACTTTACGCTACTGAGGGAAAATGAATATTATATTATTCTGGGGAATGTGTGTAGGATAAGAGAATGAGAAAAAAATGAGAGACTTCAGTGTCATATATGTTTACAGGTATGTGTATGTACACTGTAGATGTATATTTACATATACACATGTACTTAAATTTTTTTATAATGAGTACAGATTACATGTGTGTGTGTGTGTGCACGTGTGTATGTGTGTACCACTCCTGGGGCATGAACTCAGGGCCTGGATTCTGTCTGAGATTTTTCGCTCAAGGCTAGCAGGCTACCACTTGAGCCATAGCTCCCTTCTAGCTTTTTTGGTGGTTAATTGGAGGTAAGAGTCTCACAGATCTTCCTGCCTGCCTGGTTTTGAACAGTGATCCTCAGATCTCAGCTTCCTAAGTACTAGGAATACAGGTGTGAGCCTTAAAAATATTATTCATCAGGGTTTTAATTGTGATATTTCCATTCACATTGTATGTTGATCAAATTTATCTTCTCTATTTCCCTTTCTTATTCCTCCCCCACCCTTTAAAACAGTTTTAATATTTCCACACATGCCTCCACCATGCCCACCCTCCCCACCCTGTCACCTTTACTCTCTAACCCAGGATACGATAGCTGGTGCGCTGGGAGCCTTGTTTGTGACACAGGAGGCCCGGCTGAGAACGTGAGCAGGGGAGTTAAGTTCCCTCGACCTGAGGTAGACCCGTGTGTTTCAGTCAGCTCCTCTACCAGGCCAGGTGGCCGTTATAACCCAACCTTGCCTGGGCCCACCTAGTACCCAGCTCCTCCTTCTGACTATCACCTTTTAGGTAGAGTTGCTATCAAGGGTTCTAGTCATGGAGACCAGAGACCATCACCAGGCCTGCTGAGATGCAGGGAGCCGTTGCTTGGCTTGACCCCAGGCTGCCAGCGTCAGCTCCCTTGTCACGTCTACCTGTCCTTGTTTTCTTGTGCATTTTGCAGGTAGTCTGGTGGATTCGTCAGGTCATATCTTGATCCCTGGAATCTACGACCAAGTTGCTCCAATTACAGCAGAGGAAATACAGAAGTACAAAAGCATTGATCTGGACCTAGAAGAATACAGGAATAGTAGCCAGGTTGAGAAATTTCTGTTTGATACCAAGGTATGGCCACTTGATGATGGATAATGTGAAAAGGGAACTATGATAATAAGTCTTGTTTCCCTGGAATTTAGTTAGTAGCAGATGGTGCTAATCTGTGCTCGGAGAATCTGAAGCAGGTGTAAATTCCTAGGCAGACATAGGTGTTTCACAGCCACTTGGTCTCAATCAGCCAGCTCTTCTTGTGTACTTACTGAACATGACCAACGACTCACTTCTCAGGTATGCCTTCGCAATGCAGCTACTTGTTTATTTTTGAAAGTAGTGTATTTGAACTCAGGGCCTCGTGCTTGCTAGGTAGGTGCTTTATTTCTGAGCTACACCTCCAGTCCTTGTTTGCACACTGATTATTTTTGACATAGGGTCTTGCTTCCTGTGATTCACCTATTTTAGGTTTCCTGCTCATAACTGGGATGACAGGTGCGTGCTACCATGCCCAGATCTTGGTTGAGAAGGGGTCTTCCATGTATGCCGTGGTGGCCTCAGGTGTGCTCATCCTGAGCTCAGCCTCCCAGGTGGCTAGAATAACAAATGGGAACCATTGGTGCCCTGCCTAAAGCAGTTCATTAACTTAAAACCCACCCCAGCCTTTAGCCAGAGAGCTAGACTTCCCAACAGTTCCAAGATTCAAAAGAGTCTGAGACTGTTTCAGACCTAAGACCCCAAATTGTTCACCTTCTTGGGCAGAATTAGTTTCTGGGATAATCTGCACGTGAATGCATTTCCTCCTTTACTATAGAGATCCAGAGCCCATTGCAAATTTAGACCTCTTTCATTAAAAACAAAATGCTTAGCTGGGTGCCGGTGGCTCATGCCTGTCATCCTGCTACTGAGGAGGCTGAGACCTGAGGATCACAGTTCAAAACCAGCCCGGGCAGGAATGTCTGTGAGACTCTTATCTCCAATAAAACCACCAGAAAATCAGAAGTGGTGCTGTGGCTCAAGTGGTAGAGCACTCGTCTTGAGCTGAAGAGCTGAGGGACAACGCCCAGGCCCAGAGTTCAGGCCCCACAACCGACAAATAACAAACCAAAATGCTTGCCTGCTTAGGTATTTGGCAGCTCTGGCTGATTCCTAAGGGAATGCCCAGAGAGGGCAAAATCACGCTGAAAAGAAGTGGCAGTGTTTCTCGTTGATGTGATGTATTCATTCTCTCAAATTAAGTCTGTGAAGCCACAAGTAGAAAGAAAACTGGTCCAAAGGTCTAAAGAGTCCTTTGAGGTTTTCTGAACAATAGAATTTGGTACACAAGTTATCATTGCAATGATCATGGAAAGAAATTTATAGTTGAACTCCCCTTTGCCCATCTATTAACCACAAACTCCAGGGCCCAGGAGACAGAGGTGCTGGGAGGCAGTGTGGGCAGGCGGAAGCGGGGAAGAGTAAGGCCAGGGCCTGGGGGAGGGGCACTCAACGGTTCATCTGTCACTAGTAGGTCTCAGATGGCCAGCGTTGGTGATACACGCTGTGTAATTCACATGAAGTTGTTCTGAGATTGTGTGTGTGTGTGTGTGTGTGTGTGTGTGTGTGGTGTGTGTGTGGCAGTGCCAGCTTCATGTGAGTTTCAATCAGATGTTCTGTGGATGATTTTTATTCTACTTTAGGAGGAAATCCTAATGCACCTGTGGAGGTACCCATCTCTCTCTATTCACGGGATTGAGGGAGCCTTTGATGAGCCTGGAGCGAAAACAGTCATCCCTGGCTGTGTTACAGGGAAATTTTCCATCCGTCTCGTCCCTCACATGAACGTGTCTGTGGTGGAGAAGCAGGTAACAAGCGTCCACAACCGCTTCTGAGCCCTGCACCCAGCAGGGAGCAATTTGGTGTTGCTAACAAAGCATCATCTTTTCCAACACGAAGGGTGCCGAGTCAGAGACCCAGGCCAATCTGTTCAGTGAGAACTTCTTCCCACAATTCTGTGCAATTGTAGCGATCTGATAAATATCCACTTGGAAGTGCAGTGATGGGAAATTTTTTAAAAATTAGATGGTAGTTATAAAGACAAAATTAGATTTCCGTTTAGATGGAGTAGCTAACTTCCTACCCCTGGATGCAGTCAGAATCATCTCAAGCCCAATCATTAGTTGTTGTTTTTTTTTTCTCTTTAATATGATGTCTGAAATCAACACTTTGAAAGCAGCCATTTTAATGAAAATGTTATCTGGAAGGAGTTGTCTGTTTAAATTATCAACCCATCATCGATTTGTCTCAAGTTAGTTTAACAGAAAATAGGCTGTGGAATAAATGAGCTGAACACAGACGGCCCTCTGCCACTCTCAACTGCATTATCCTCCGTCCTTGTTATCACTAATTATATTCTAAAAAGAACTTCTTTGTCCCCCAGCCCTTCTTTCCCACAGCCCCCTTCCTTCCTTTGAATACATTACCCCTTTTCTCAAGACACACCACCCACCAGGATAGGACCTTCTCTGTTTCACAGCTGAATTACCAACACCTAGACAGATGTTGGTACTCACTGAACAAATGAGTAGAAGAAAAGTCGCTGAGGATGGCTGGGGTTTCCCCTAGAAGATTCTCACAAGACTTGGGGGAAGGGAAGAGAGGAGCATAGCACTGTCCCCTTCCCAGTGTTTCTTGGAATGGCTCCTACTTTCCAGCAATAACCCAGATGCCCCAAGTTTCCAACAGAGTCAGCAGGGTACCAATAAATCAAAAGCCAAGAACATTCCAACTGAGAAGTTATGCTTGAATTATGTTTCATAACTTTCAGCAAACTACTTAAACAGCAGAATCTGAATTCAAAGTCAGCCAACATTTCTGATACAAGAATAGGGATAGGGCTGGGAATGTAGCTCAGTGGTAGAGTGTTTACCTTGCATGCATGAGGCCCTGGGTTTGATTCCTCAGTACCACATAAACAAATAAAGCTGGAAGTGGTGCTGTGGATCAAGTGGTAGAATGCTAGCCTTGAACAAAAGAAACTCAGGGGCAGTGCCCAGGCTCTGAATTCAAGCTACAGGACTAGCAAAAAAAGAAAAAAGAACAGGGATAGAGCCAGGTACCAGCGGCTCATGCCTGTAATTCTAGCTACTCAGGAGGCTGAGATCTGAGGATTGCAGTTCAAAGCCAGCCCAGGCAGGAAAGGCAGTGAGTCTCTAATCTCCAATAAACCACAAAGAAAACCAGAAGTGGTATTGTGGTTCAAGTGTAGAGCGTTGGCCTTGAGCTGAAGAGCTGAGGGACATTGTCCAGGCCCAGAGTTCAAGCACCCCCCCCCCAAAAAAAGAGGTGGGCATTGCTGAAGCCCAGGGCCTCTGAAGGTCTTTCATACTATGGAGAAACCTCTAGCTGAATCTAAGGAGAAATCACACCATTCATCACTCTAATTTTCCCTTTTGTCAGGTAGGAACATCGGGATTCTGAAGTTTGAATTCAGGGCCTCATACTTGCTTTGGCAGATGCTGTATAACCTAAGTCATTGTCTCAGCCCAATGAACCCCTCCCTAACTGTTCCCCCTCCCTCTCCCTTCCCTTCTTCCCTCCCTCCCTCCCTCCCTCCTTCCCTTCCTCTTCCTTCCCTCCTTTCCTCCTTTCCTCCCTCCCTCTCACCTGCCTGCTTGCTTGTCTTGCTTGTCTTTTCTTTCTTTCTCTCTTTCTTTCCTTCCTTCCTTTCTTCCTTCCTTCCCTCCTTCCCTCCTTCTCTCCTTCTCTCCTCCCTCTCACTTGCCTGCTTGCTTACTTTTCTTTCTTTCTTTCTTTCTTTTTCTTTTCTTTCCTTCCTTCCTTTCTTCCTTCCTTCCCTCCTTCCCTCCTTCTCTCCTTCCCTCCTTTCCTTCCTCCCTCTCACCTGCCTGCTTGCTTACTTTTCTTTCTTTCTTTTTCTTTCTTTCTTTCTTTCTTTCTTTCTTTCTTTCTTTCTTTCTTTCTTTCTTTCTTTCTTTCTTTCTCTCTTTCTCTCTCTCTTTCTCTCTCTCTCTTTCTTTCTCTCTCTCTCTCTCTCGCTCTCTTCCTCCCTCCCTCCCTCCCTCCCTTCTTTCTTTCGTCAGTCATGGGGCTTGATCTTTGTGCCTGGGCGCTGTCCCTCAGCTCTTCAGCTCAAGGGCAGCGCAGCACTCTACCACTTGAGCCACAGCTCCACTTCTGGTTTTCTGGTGGTTTATTGGAGATATGAGTCTCATGGACTTTTCCTGCCTGGGCTGGCTTTGAACCATGATCCTCAGATCTCAGCCTCCTGAGTTGCTAGAATTACAGGGGTGAGCCACTGTTGCCTGGGTTGTCCTTCCTTCCTTCCTTCCTTCCTTCCTTCCTTCCTTCCTTCCTTCCTTCCTTCCTTCTTCTTTCTCTCTCTCTGTCTTTCTTTCCCCTCCCCCTTCTCTCTCTCCCTCTCCCTATTTTTCTTTTTGGCTGAACTAGAGATTGAACCTAGGCCCTCATAATTTCAAGGAAAACGCTTTAGTTCCTCCCCTAGCTCAATTGTTTTCTTGATGAAAGACTACACTCACTGGATGAGAGAAAAACGTGAATTCTTTCTTACTACCTACCATGTCAACTTGTAGGTAAAGCAACATCTTGAAGCTGTGTTCTCCAAAAGAAACAGTTCCAATCAGATGGCTGTCTCTTTGGTAATGGGACTTCAGCCATGGGTTGCAAAGACTAATGACAGTCAGTATCTTGCAGCAAAAAGAGCCATCAGAACAGGTAAGACTTTCAGATATTTGGCTTGTGAGATTGTGGTGGGAGTAGGGGTGGGGCAAGTGTGTGGAACAGTGGATCAGAAGACACTCTTAAAACTCAAATACAACTCCCTCTCTATCTAAGGTGCAGTATTGAGTCCATACTGTGTCCCGGGTACTGTGTGCACACTGTCTCATATAGTCTTCCAGTTTTCCCCATTTTACTGAAGAAGTTAAGGCTTACAGAGATAAAAAATAATAATAATTTGCTGAGGGCTGGGAATGTGGCTTAGCAGTAGAGTGCTTGCCTAGCATTCATGAAGCCCTGGGTTCGAATCCTCAGTGCCACATAAACAGAAAAAGCTGAAAAGTGGCACTGAGGCTCAAGTGGTAGAGTGCTAGCCTTGAACAAAAGAAGCTCAGGGACAGTGCCCAGACCCTGAGTTCAAGCCTGGCCAGGCAAAAAATTAAAATAAAGAGAAAAAAACCAATTTGCTGAAAGGCACATAGCTAATAAGTGACAAAGCTAGGGTTAAAGTTTTGGGGGCAATGATGGAGTAAAAAAAACTTCAAAACTAGTAGGCACTGGTGGCTCACACTGTAATCCTAGCTACTCAGGAGGCTGAGATCTGAGAATCATGGTTCCCAGACTGCTGGGGCAGGAAAGTCCATGACACTCTTATCTCCAATTAAAAAAAAAACTATTTGGAAAAGGCCAGAAGTGGAGCTGTGGCTTGAGTAATACAGCATAAGCCTTGAGCAGAAAAGCTCAGGGAGGGCTGGGATGTAGCTCAGTGGCAAAGCGCTTGCCTAGCAAGTGCAACGTCCTGGGTTCGATCCCCAGTACCAAAAAAGAAAAGACAAAAAAAATACAGTTAAAAAAAAGAAAAGCTCAGGAACAGTGCCCAGGCTGAGAGTTTAAGCTCCAGGACCAGCAAAACAACAACAACAAACAAAATTTAAAAAACCTTCAAATCTCCCTGATGCAAAATTCTTGGAAAATGTTTGGCCAAATGGAAAAACCAAAGCACAGCTTATCTTCCATAAAAAAGTAAGGGAAGTCTTTTGAGATTAGAAATGAAGAAGTGGAAATCTCTGGGAACAAGCCAGGGGACACTGTCGCAGCCTGTGGACAACAGGAAGCGCAGAGTTGAAAACAAGGCCCGTTGCATAGACGTGATTATTCTTGAGCTTCAGACTGGCATGTCAGCCCTTTATCCTAGCCACTGAGCAGGCTCAGATCTCAGAATCATGATTCAAAGCCAGTTGGGGCAGGGAAGTCCATAAGACTTTCATCTCCAATTTATTGCCAAAGTTGGAAATGAAGCTGTAGCTCATGGGGTGAAGTGCTAGCTTTGAGCAAGAAGCTCAGGGATAGTGCCCAGGCCCCAAGTTGACAAGTGCACATGCGCACATGTGCACACACACACACACACACACACACACACACACACACAATGGTCATTCTCTGAGACACATGCTTAACTCGTGTGTGTATGTGTGTGTGTGTGTGTGTGTGTGTGTGTAATGTAAATGTGCTTGCTATTTGGATAAATGCAGTCAGCCCTGTCAGGTTTTAGCCATAGACCCTCCTCACATGGGGTATGACTCAGTCCTCCCCAAACCCCACAGACAGACTGCTTGGCAGAGCCAAACACCAGACCACCCCAGCGATTCAGCTCCCATGAAGGCAGTGTGAGATTCTCATGGAATTCCTTCCCAGAAATGTACTTGCTGTCTAAGATCACAAAGGTCCAGCCCCTCTGCCTAACAACAGCAGCCTTTCCACAAGGCCACATGGCTTCTTTAGAAGGCAGCAGTTTTGTTTGGAATGTCCTTAAGAGTGTTACTTTACTTATTCATTTTAAAAGTATGTGTTGGTCCTGGGCTTGAACTCGGGGCCCCAACCTCTCACTGGCATTTTTACTGAAAGCTTATGCTTGGCTGCTTGAGCTACAGTCTACTTATGGATTTTTGGCTAGTGAACTAGAGATAAGAGTCTCAGGGACTTTCCTGCACAGGTTGGCCTAAAAACACAATCCTCAGGTCTCACCTTTCTGAGTAGCTAGGATTACAGGCATGAGCCACCAGCGCCCTACTAGGAGAGTTTATTTCAATTCCATAAGCTTCCAAGACCTGGTCAGGGCCGACAACTAGCTGAGCAGTGGGCCCGGGCTTAGGTGCTGGCTGCCAAGTAGAGTGAGTTCTTCAAGGAGATCTGGATTCCAATCCCAACAGTGTGGCTCCAGACCTCATCTCCAACCAGGACTATAGGTCTGCATAAATGCATGCCAGGTTTCCACCTAGCTTTAGGGGTCATCCCCTCACTCTCAGTATTTCAGGGGACTTCATTTTGCTCTCGTCGGCATGCATATCCCTCTTGCCATAAGAGCAGAGAGATGGCATGTTCCTTCCGGCCCTGCCAGGGACACAGCTCGGGGGGTTCCTTTTGTCCTTACTTGTTCTGATGTCTTCTTGTGCTCTAGTGTTTGGAGTAGAACCTGATATGATCCAGGATGGATCAACCATTCCAATTGCCGTAACTTTCCAGGACATCATAGACAAGAGTGTGATGATGCTGCCGCTGGGCGCTGTTGATGATGGAGAGCATGCTCAGAACGAGAAGATCAACAGGTCAGCTGACCCCATGCAGGGGTGCGGCTTCTCGGGAGCCACTCTGTTATCTTATGTGACAGGGGACACTGTCAGACCCTGTGGCTTCCACAACAGAGATTTGTTTTATCCTGTCCCGGAGTCTGGGAAGGCCTGGGTGAAGGTGCTGGCTGGTTAGGTGCCTCTTGAGGGCTTTCTTCCTAGCTCTCAGACCGCCTGCAATCTGTATCCTTACCTAATAGAACCAGAGACCTGAGGAGCTGGGGAAGGGAAAGCAGAGGGTGGGGGAGGCTTAGGGCTAGGCACAAAGTGAGCAGCTCTGATCTCTTTCTATTCTCCAAGGCACCTGCCCTGTGAAGTTATGCATACCTTTCTCTCCTGTTGTCTTATCAAAGGCCCTGCCTCTAAATATAGTCATATTTGGGGTTAGAGTGTCAACACGTGAATTTTGGAAAGCATGAAATTCAGCCCCTAACAAAGAGTATTCATATGTCCATACATACATGGTATGCAGATAATACAACTGCCCTATGCCCCCCGACTAGTGGGAAACAAGAACATGTTTTAGAATCCCTGCCAAGGAAAATGGGAGTTTCTTTTGCATTTGTGTTCAGGACTAATACCCATCCTCTTAATAATACCACTTTACCAAGTGCCTTCTGTCCTAGCATCTCAGAAGTGTCTTAACTCCCTTAGATTGATTTCATGATATCAAATCTTCCCATGTAAATGGTTGAATACTCTTCTTCCTTCATTTGAATGGAAACTGTAAGTTTCTCTGGGGTTTTCTTTTTGTTAGGTGGAACTACATAGAGGGGTCCAAGTTGTTTGCTGCATTTTTCTTGGAGGTGGCAAGACTGCATGCATCTGATGCCAGGAATCTTCCCTGACCCACGGAGAGATCGCTCCCACCCCCAGAGATGGAAGTTTAATAGCCTGAACATATTGATACAGTAAAGCATGCCTCCATTCAAAACCATGGGGGGGTGGGGAGAGGAAGGAAGGAAAGAAGGAAGGAAGGAAGGGAAGGAAGGAAACAGGGAGGGAAGAAGGGAGGAAATGAAGGACAGGAAGGAAGGAAAGAAGGACAAAGGAAGTGTCCTAGACATTTGGGACAGTAATATCTTTTGTTACTATTTTCTATTTTACTATTTGTAGTTGGGATGTAACGGATATTCTTCAGTTTGGGGGTATAACATCTAACTGTAGGATGCTGTCCCAACAAAAGAACTACACTGAGTAGGGAGAATGATTTAGTAAATCAGCATCATACCTGAGAGGCTGGGAGGGAAGGGTGAGGTTTAGCCAGTCCCCACTGTGGAACTTGGGATTTTATCCAATAAGATGGCGGTATTAGCCCTCTTCAAATGGTATGACCACTGCCCAGGGGCTGTCTGAGTGTGGGAAAGCATATGATCCTCTTTGCCTTTCTTGGTTGAAACTTGAGATGGAAAGTGGGGTCCACAGGATGGGTGGCCATGCTCTTCATGCAGAGTCTGGGGTAGGGGGTGTTAGAATGCCCTGGACATTCTTGTTCATGACTACCTAGCTGCCTATGCCTAGCAGTTTAACACCCTGTTCTCACTTCCCTGAAGTCACAGCTAATTGTGCCTAAACTGTTCTGAGTCCTGTCCAGTCGCCCAGGATTGTGTTCAGTCAGTGCAACCTTCAGACACAGGACAGTCCGTCAGTTAGGCTCTCCCCTTGTAACGCATTTGGAATAATCCATCCAGAATAATCCATCCAGTGTGCTTTCTGGGTCCTGAAGGGCCCAGGACACATGACCATTCCGCACTAGCACACCTTTCTCTTATTAATAAAAATGTGGGTCTCCACCACTGTAATGACTTTTCTGTGGGTTCATTTTTAGAGTTGGTAAGGTATGGTACTATATTAACATTTTATTCCCCTTCAATTATTTACTCCTGCTCCTGGAAAAGTGTGGAAGCTGCAATGAGCAATATTCATACCTTTATGCTCCTGAGATTCCTTGTTTTTTTAATTCCAAACTTCTTTATCTTTGCTATGATTGGTGTTATGTGATCAGCACCTTTGTCTACTCCTCTTCTCATCCCATCAGTAATGTCTGTTTATTCCCTGCAAATGTAAACCCAGTATAGCAGAATCTCTTCTGATAGAATTTCTCTCACCCCATTGGAATTTAACTCAATTGGCTACATCTAAATTGCTCAGAGTTTTTAAACAGCATCAGTTTTAGATAGAGAACTAATCAACCCTGACTTCAGTAAAACATTCTAAATTTAAAGTCCTCAGCTAATGCTGCATTTATTAATCACTGCAGTTCACCATCGTATTTGGCTTGATTGAGCTTGATAGTGTAAACACATAAAAAGAATGTAATCTTTCTATAGTTGCATGTATGTAAATAAATCTGTTCAGTCTTTATACATTCATTATTTAAATCACATGAAGGGAGAAGAATTTAAAGGTTTATTAAGGATGGCTCTCCTGACTTCAAATAAAAACAAAGCTTGTTTCCAGCTCTCCTTTGGTTCTTCAAACTTGCAGCTTCACATTAATAAATGACTGGGGCTTGTGCTCAATGACAGATTATCCTGATCTCATCACAGAAATCAGATCCATTTTATAGAAATCATCCTGTTTATAGAAATGAACCCAGGATTCCATGTAGTGTTTGCTGTGGAGACTGGAGATGGTAGGCCACCATGCCTGCTCTGATGCTAAAGAGTACCAAATCTGTTTGCTGAACATTGCTGGATGTCTGATATTCTGTTCTGTTATAGTTTATGTGCACCGGATTAGGATTCCTTTGAATGATGGATGGTGTTGGGCATAAGAGATTCTGACCCTGCCGTGTCAGTCCAGACTTGTGATTTGCTGACAATCTCCCTTGCTCTTGTCTCCAGGGTTTAGGCCACCCTAAACTTCACCCCACGCTGAGCCGTGTGGCTCGGACAACCTCTGTCCACCGGTGATGTGGGAGACAGAAAGGAAGTATCATCTAGGTTTTTTACATTGACAGGGAAATCTGTTACTAGTCAAACCAATTAGTTATAAGAAGCTAAAAAAAACTAGGAGAGAGGGAGATTTACATGTTTGGTTCCATTTTTAATCAAATACATGCACCTGGGTTAAATGATCACGTGGGCGTGTTGTATGATTAGGAGGGAGTTCACCAAATAGGAGGACAACATGTCTGGCTTAGGAGGTGTGGTGTGTTAAACTATTCTCACTGTGATAAAGTTAGGGGGCTAGGGACACCAGCTGGGCCTCAGTGTCCTGTGGCAATACTAAGGGCTGGGAATGCTTTGGGTTTGTTTTGTATTCATGAACAGCTGCCAGCCTTGCATATCTGCTGGCCAGTGTGAGTGTGCTGGCCAGCAATACTTTCTGGACTTGAGCTGGGGAAGGGGAGGGAGCCAGGGACGCCAAGGGACTTGCTCCGGTCCTCTTCTTCTGGACATTTATTCTAAGCATGTCCACCCCTCTCATGCTTTTGTATCAGCTGAGTGCTCATGTGGACCCCTCTTCTAGAACCAGACTCCCTCACCAGTCCTTGGGCTGTGAGAAAAACTTGGTTAAAAGTTCCTGCTTTGGTCTGCAGGCTATCAGTAAGTACCAAAAGGCAAAGAGGAACTGCTTTCCAATAGGAAGAGATTTTGAAAGATAAGGTTTTGTCTTAACTGGCTTTTCCAAGATGGAATTAAGACATACCTCAGATTGTTCAAGAAATAACAGGTGATACAGAGGTTCTGAGATGACTTGTGTAGTGGTAATCTGATTTCAGAGTCTCTTAATGGTCACCTTAAGGTAAATACATCTTCCCTGCTTCAAACTATTCAATCAAATCTGAGCTCAACAAACCGGAGCAAAGGGGTGGGACCGGCTGTGCTAAAGATTCTCTTGCGATCTCCAAAATCCTAGGTCCACTGTGTGAGCTGGGCAGCGGCGTGTGAGCTTGTGTGGTGCATTGCCATGCTGCCAAGACTTGGCATTTTCTTTGCATCTGTCTCTCTCCCCTAGTCAACTCGCCGCTCGCTGCCCCCAGAGGGCATTCCCTCGAAGGGCTTGCACCCAGCAGGATGTGCAGTGCCCAGAAGGTGCTTGATATGGTGGGTAAGCCCTGCATCTTGATCCTCCAGCGAGTTTTGGAGTCTCCCCTCCTAGGGCTAGTAACTTACACTCAGCTTCCACATTGGTCCTGGGCCGAAATCTTGGGAGCAGCAAGTATGGAGAGAGAGCAACAGCCATGCTGAGGTGTGTGGACCGGTCACGCTCTCAGGTAGAGCTGTGCCAGCCCAGAGGGGTCGTGTAAGAGTTCATGGCCACAGATAACAGTTGGTAGACCTAGTGTACACCCTTTCCCTGCTGGAACACTGCCTTCACAATGTCCTAAGCTCTGTGTGTGTGCTTCAATTCAGGGCCTCACACTTTTGCTCAGCTTTTTCTCAAGGCCAGTGTTCTAACTTGAGCTGTGCCTCCACTTCCAGCTTTTTGCTGGTTAAATGGAGATAAGAGTTTCATTATTTGTCTGCCCAGGCTGGCTTTGAACGGAGATTCACAAATCTCAACCTCCTGATTAGCTAGGATTACAGGTGTAAGCCACTGGTGTCCGCTTATAAGTGCCTTTAAATGATGTCAACATTCCAAAATTGGCAGATTTCAAATGAATCAATCAGTGAGGTAATAAAAGCATTATATAACACTGCTGTGTGGTGTCTTTCAGGGTAGTAAGTTTAGCTGTATTTGCACCTTTGAGCACCAGTACAGTGCCTGATGCATAATATGTACTTATCAATTTATTTTTTTTGTCGGTCGTGGGGTCTGAACTCTGGGCCTGGGCGCTGTCCCTCAGCTCTTCAGCTCAAGGCTAGTGCTTACCACTTGAGCCACAGCACCACTTCCAAATTTCTTTTTTTATTGTGAAAATACTGTATAGAGGGGTTACAATTACATGAGCAATGTGATAAGTACATTTCTTATCAAGCATTGTTGCCTCCTCCTTTGTTTCCCCTTCCCATCCCTTCCCCCCACCAAAGTTTAAAGTTCATTTTTCAACATAACGACTTGTACATCTCATTGTTGCAATGGGTCCACCTGTATCCCTATTTAAATGATTTGTTTTTTCCCTTCCCCTCCACAAATTATACCAACATCAAATACAGTGAAAGCAGGGGTTATATCGTGGGGGAGGGACATACAAAACAACAAAGAAATCATCTTATAAATGTGTTAGAAACAATCACAAGAAAGAAAAAAACATTTGAATCCTTATCTTGGGGTTCATTTTGCCTAACATCATCTTGTCTGACAGTTTCTATTTGTCTCAGACATATACTAGTTATTGCAAATAAGGGAAACCATGGGACCTATGTTTCTTTAGGCCTGGCTTACTTAATATGTTTTCCCGAGTCTTTCCATTTCCTAACAAATGGGGCAATGTCATTCTTTCTGATGGAGGCATAGAATTCCATTGTGTATGTATATATACCACATTTTCTTGATCCATTCATCTAATGAGGGGCATCTGGGTTGGTTCCACATCTTAGCTATGGTAAATAATGCTGCAATAAACATAGTTGTGCTGGTAGCTTTAGTATGGTCTTGTGATCCTTTGGGTAAATGCCCCAAAATGGGATTGCTGGGTCATAGGGGAGCTCTATGTGAAGTCTTTTGAGGAACCTCCATACTGCTTTCCAAAGTGGTTGAACAAGTTTACATTCCCACCAACAATGAAGTAAGGTTCCCTTCTGTCCACATCCCCTCCAGCATCTGTTGTTATTAGAGTTCTTGATTATAGCCATTCTAATTGGGGTGAGGTAGTATCTCAATGTTGTTTTGATTTGCATTTCTTTTAACCACTTCCAAATTTCTTACAAGTATAAGGGAAGGAAGTTCACAAAAGGAAATGTTATTCCATCTGACTTCTCACTTCTACAGGTAGTTACTTTCTCTTAATAAATTCCCAAAGTGTGCTTTATGAAGGGGCCAAATGGCTTTCAAATACTACTTTACATGTCTTGTTTTAAATCTGGTCAATGTTATC